CTTACTCCTCTTCTCCACTCCCAAAGTCTGTTCTGGGAGCCCCGCCAGCCAAGCAGCTTTCTCCTCCACCTGCCTCTCAAAGTTCACAGAGCTCCAAGTTCATACCCAGCAAAACAAAGCCCAGTCATAGGCCAGGCCATGACTCCCATGTCCTCCATTCATAGGGCCACTTGCATTTTTAGAAATTTGGATTGGAAAGTGTTCTTTTCTTCATATCTTCTTTTGCTTGATAATGCTATTCCCTCCATCAATGTCATCTTATACCCTCCCTGCTGCCTGTGGCTGACCGAAATCTTATGCCTATCAAGGTCTTATTCAAATGCCTCACTCTCTGGAAATCTTCCCATATGGCCCTCAAGTAGAGGTGATTTTTCTCTTCACTAAATTTGCATCCTATTTCTTTTATTCTAATTGGTATTACAGGGAATTTTGTACTTGTTTTTTTCTTCTTCTCCTTCAGAACAATTTCTGTTTCTTGCTCCACATGTCTCCAGAAGAAACTGGCCCAGGACTCAGGGTGCATGGCAGGCCCTAATGCTAGTTAGGTTATAAGGAAACTTTTTATATTTTTTTCCATATTGGTTAAAGTTTCTTTAAGGAAACTGCTGGATTTCATGTTTCTAAATGATAGATATTCAATATTTCAGTTTCAGAATCAGCTAAAAGAAACCACTAGCCCCTGCCAAGGAACTCAGTAGCTATTGTGGGTTAGTGTAGTATAGCTTTTGGTTTAATAGTCATAGAAAGATGTTCTCTCTCCAGGTAAAAGATATCATTGAAGTTTTTGCCTGGGTTGACTCTGGCTTACTAAGAATGCAGCAGGGATCTGGCCTCTGAAAGACTATTGTTTACAGAATCTAACTCTTGTGACTCATTAAATATACCAAGGATGGATAATTAAAAATATTGGCTTATGAATTTAACCTCCTGAGGTCTCCTATCTTTTGGTTTAAGCTTGTCCTCAGCAGAAGCAGGCTGATTTCCAGAAAATCAATTCAACGGAAGCCAGTGTGTGAATGACCACTTCTTGGAATGGCAAGGTGACCGAGGGCTAACCACAGCAAGCTAAACTGAAGGCTGTGGCATATACCAGATTTTGCTAGACCTATTGCTAGAGTGTATTCTGCCATCATTGAACATTGATCTTTAGGTGAACAGACTTCTCAGTGTTTCCTAATATTGATCAAGGAAAGGGGATGGAGACCCAGTGATGAGGTTTGCTTCATGTATATGTGGCTAACTGAGGGCAGCCAAGACATAACTTAGCATCACTTTCTCAGAGTTCCTACCAAATAATACTTAAATTCTGAACATGAAACCAGAAATATCTTTAACTTCTTTCATTTTTATAAGTATTACCCTGGATTAAACAAGGATAAAAAGTAAAATAAAGTTCTTTGGGGGTTTTAAAGCATTTTTTCCATTCCAAAAGTAATATATTTCATTATAGGAAAATTTTTAAATAGAATTAAAGATTAAAATATTTTGAAACCCATTTTTCTGCAGCCTAAGGACAATCACATAATATTTTTTGACATTTTTTTTATTCCAATCTTTTTTCCACAGAGAGGATGTTTTAGAAAATTGTAATCATCTTATATGTACTCTATATTTTGCTAAACAGTTTTCCATAATCTTTATTATGGATAATAATATCTGTAAATTATGGACATATAATACTCCAACAACAGGAAATACTTATAATTTATTTAATTATCTCCTTTACCTGACTTTAAGGTTGGTTTTCTTTTTTTTTTTTTGAGACAGAGTCTCGCTCTGTCGCCCAGGCTGGAGTGTTGTGATACGATCTCAGATCACTGCAACCTCTGCCTCCTGGATTCAAGCGACTCTCCTGCCTCAGCCTCTCAAGTAGCTGCGATTTGGAGTAAACAGACACGATGCTTTCCTGACAGTCCTCACTTAGTCTATGGACTCTTATCACCCTGTCATCCCTGTCCAAGGGGGCACGCTATTAATTTTTCTTGGTTTAAGCTTGTCATAGCAGAAGCAGGCTGATTCCCAGAAAATCAATTCTGCTGAAGCCAGTTTCTGAATGAAACTGGAATGGGAATTCCACTTCTTGGAAGGGGAAGGTAACCTAAAGCCAACCACAGCAAACTAGACTGAAGACTGTGGAATATACCAGACTTTGGAGTCAGATACATGGAATGTCAAACCTGGGCCCTTCTCCCAATGTCCCTGGAATTGATCACTCTATGGCTTATAGGCAGAAAACCTGACCTCTCCAGCCTCATTTCCTTCTTCTTGGAAATGGATGTCTAGACGGTGTTTTGGAGATAAAATGAGAGCATGCACATTAAGCCTCTGATGGGGACCATCATGGTAAGGCATGATGGAGGGTCATCAGATGCCTTCTTTTGCTCTGGAAAATGGGAGAATGAATCACGTGGTTGGCAAAAACATATGAAATTCTACATCTGAATCTTGTTTTCTTCTCTCATTTAAAATCCAGCTCCTCACAAGTCTATTTTTTGAAAGAACCAGCCTCCTTTTCTTCTAAATATTCTAAATATATAAAACCCAACTAAAGTTTCAAAACACACTGTTGTGGTTGTTCTTTCACAGGTGTTAAAGACAATTGGATAAGATATCCTGCCAAGAGCATTTTAAAAATACCAGGGTAACTTCTATTTTTTTTGTTATGGAAACTTCCTACACACAAAAGTAAAGGAAATGGTATAATGGACCCTCTGTATTCATTCCCAAGTTCTTACCATTTTAAATATTTTATCCATGTTGTCTTTTCTATCCCCCTATATATATCCTTCATTTTTCTTTTTGCTGGATTATTTGAAAGAAGTCCCTGACAGTGTTTTATTTTATCCATTAAATACTTTGACATGTATTTCTAACAGTTGAGATTTTTTTCTACATAACCACAATGTTATTATCACATGTAACAAAAGTATCAATAATCTCAGGAGCATTTTAAAAATAGCGTTCTGGAAAAAGCAAGCCAAAGGAGTGAGTAATATAGAATTTCAAGCTCTATGGTAAAAGGTTTGGGAAGATGCTTTTGGCAAAGGGGGCACTTTCATTTTTGCAAATGACATCACAGAGCCAGATGTCACTTTCTCCTACATATCCGAAATTGGATTTACTTTCTTACCCCTGAAATGTATTCCCTAGTTTAGTTTAAGGCATCAGTATCCACCCAGAAGCTTGAGCCAAAGACCCAGAGTTCTTATAGAATCTTTTCTTTCCCTCCTTTCTCTCTTACCCCTCCATTTAATCAGTTTTTTAAAATCATGATAACATTTAATAGGAGATCTACCTTCTTAACAAAATTTTAAGTGTACAATACATTATCATTGACTATAGGTACAAGGTTGTACAACAGCTTTCCAGAGCTTATTTATTTTGCTTGACTGAAACACAATGCTCATTGTTAGTGATTCCCCATTTCCTCTTCCTCCCAGCCCTGGCTACCACCATTCTATGATTCTATTAATTTAAATCATAGATACTTCATCTTAGATATTTCATGTAAGTGGAGTCATACAATATTAGCCTATTGGTGACTGGCTTATTTCACTTAATGTAATGTCCTCAAGGTTCATCTATATTGTTGCACATTGCCAAATTTCCTTTTTAAGGCTGAGTAGTATTCCATTGTATGTATGTACCACATTTTCTTTTTATCCATTCATCTGTTGATGGACATTTAAGTTGTTTTCACATCTCGGCTATTATGAATAATGCTGCAATGAACATGTGTATACTAATATCATTTTGAGACCCTGATTTCAATTTTTTTGGATAAATATCCAGAAATGGGATTGCTGGATCATATGGTAGTTCTATTTTTAATTTTCTTAGGAAATTTCATACTGTTTTACATAGTGGCTGCACCATTTTGCATTCCTACCAATAGTGTATGAGGGTTCCAATTTCCTCCACATCCTCACCAGCACTTACTATATATATATATATATATATAAAATGGCATCCTAGCAGGTATGAGGTGGTATTACATTGTGGTTTTGATTTGCATTTCTCTGATGATTAGTGATGTTGAACATTTTCATAGGCCTGTTGGCTATTTGTATGTCTTCTTTAGAGAAATGTCTATTCAAGTCCTTAGCCTATTTTAAAAATTAAGTTAGTTTTTTATTACTATTGAATGTAGGAGTTTCTTATTTTAAAGTTCTAAATCTCAGAGTGAATAATTTCTCATAGCAACACCCTATTTTTCATTCCTACTTCTGTTTCCTTTATCTAGTGCACATTATCCATCTCTGCACTGAGGTACTGAATGGTGGTTTTCTTTTCTTTTAGAGATGGTGTTTTTATCATGTTGGCCAGGTTGGTTTTCAACTCCTGGCCTCAAGTGACCCACCTACCCTAGCCTTCGAGAGTGCTGCAATTATAGGCATGAGCCCCCACACGGCTTCTGAATGGCCTTCATTTGAGGTTCTCTGGAAGTGAAACCTGAAACATGGATTCTACTATAAATAGATCATTTGAGAGGTGATCTCAGGAAACCCTGGGAGCTGATTTGGGGAGCAAGACAAGGAAATGAAAGAAGCCAGTAAAGTACATGCTATTAAGCACTGCAGAGCTCCATGCCACTGAGAAACTCCACTGGAGTTCTACCCCACTGAGAAACTCTAAGAAACAGGGTAGAATATGAATTAGAGTTATCCCAACAAACAGGCAAGGAAGCTAGGGTGTTTACCCATCAACTCTCCCATTCATTATTGTTTGAGGGCTGATCTCAGGGACATCAACTCCCCAGCACATCTGGCCGGCACTCCTGCACTGTGTATGGGCTGTGCATGCTGCCACGCCAGAGCACAAAGGGTCACAGGCCTTGGGGGTGTGAAGTGCATACTAAGGGGATATGGGTGGGGTACTGGCAGCATTGCCTTCCTGCTCCCTCTCCCAACAGAGGCCTGGGATAACTTTCCAAAATGCAAATCTGATTATGACATTCCTCTAGTCAATAAAAGCATATGTGGATGATGCTAAAGACCTACCTTGCTTATTTTGCCTGATGGAGGTGACTGGAGTGGTGCCAAACCATCTGACCCTGGGCACCTTTGGTATACCTTGTGCAGGTGGTCAAAGCTTGAGTTTTCAGTAACTGTCTGTGAATTAAATGAATAGATAGCTTTATTCATATATTTGTAATTAAAACCTGTTTGTTTATAGAACAGGTTGGGAAGGGAAGAGATCAATGATCACCTGTGGTTTGGGGCCCACTGGTGCGGCCCCCTCTACTCTTAATAGCTTTACTGACTCCTTCACAGTGCAGAGCCTCCCCTGGTGCTTCTGTCACTGCACCAAAGCCACTCGTGGAAGCACTTTGTTCTTTATGCAGTCACATTATCTGGGAATCTCAATGTGATTTACAAGCTTACATAACTTCCCAAATGAGTCAGCATGCTCATCAAGAAGGCAGCATGATGTCGTGGAAAGAACAGGGCATTTGGTGCCAGATAGAACAAGTTCAATTCCTGCATCTGCCACTTCCTAACTGTATGTCTAGACAAGTTCTTCTACCTCCTCCAGCCTGTTTCTTCCTCTAACAAATGGAGATGAGAATATCGACCTAGGAGGGTTATCATAAGGATGAAGTGAGTTAAGGAACCCTCAGAGTGCGGTCAGCATTTGCTTCTCCCATGCTATATCCTGATTTACACATCTAGCAGCAAATTCTTGAACTTTACTGACACGTAGTGAGTAGAAAATGCTGATTTATTTGTCTGCTTTTATCACCAGTGTATTTTCAATGAAAGTTCAAATCACTTATTTGTAAAGGAAAAATTGGTCTTGCTCTACTCTGGGCAGAGCAGGCACAGTGTGTAAAATAAATCAGCACCAGAAAGGGCTGTGGTGCTGTAGGTAGGGCTGGGGAGGTACAGCCTGGCTCAGGCCTGGCTGGACTGTAGAGGCAGGCAAAGATCACTGCCTTTCAGAGGCAACTTTGGGAGCATGCAGTAAGAAGACAGCCTGAAAAACAAAATGCGCAGGAGCGGATGTGGGATCCAATCCGAATAGCTGCTTACCACAGTGGGGAGCGGTTAGGAATGGCGTTGCAGAATGCCTTTAGCCAGACAAAGCAGCAGCATATGAATGAGGATGCTGCTGTGCTGATCAGGGCTGGGGATGGTTCTGGAACTGTTTTTCCTAAGTAGTTAAAGCAAATGCAAGCTTAAAAAAAAAAAAAATCAAATCCCTGGTCAGCAAATAAGCACTGCTACAAATGTTCTTCCCTGCCGGTGACAACATTATTAGGGGAGGATTAACAGACAAGCTCATTTCCAGGATCTTTATAGCCGGCATAATACATAGTTAGCAGTCAGCTTGGGGCAGCAGAGAGAATATTTATAATTTAGAGGTGATCGGTTGGCATGTCCATGGAGCAAAGAAGTAGCTAAAAAAGAAAAGCAAGAGCTGATCTTTGAACTCAGAAACTCCAGAATGCTAGAGCTGGAAATGATTTTTCAGATCATCTAGCTGTTCTGGTGCTTTTTATATACTAACAACAGCAGAACTTTTAAATAAAATTTTATGCAGACTCTCTCCTTTAAAAAAAAACAAAAGGGGAGCTGTTCTGAGTAAGGGAGGGAGGGAGAAAAGGGGGCAGTGTGGTTCTGGGACAGCAGCCTCTGAACCTGCACTTTAGGTGTCTGGTGGTAGCCCAGAAATATGTTCTGAAAATCCTGAGTCCCCACTGACCACAGCTTAAAAGCCCCTCCTCCAGTCTTAGGCTCATAGAGAGGAAGTGACTGCTCTAAGTTTACTCAGCAGAATTGGGATGAGAGCACAAACCTCTTGATTTTAAGTTCCTTGCTCTCTGCTAAAAATCATCTCCCTTCAAAAAAAAAAAAAAGTATCTGTAAAGATAAAGTTACCTCATGAAATAGCTTATTAAAGTAAATGAGAAACCCAGAGGCATCTGAGTGTAAACACTGGGTTTGAAAGGGATCCAATTCTATCTTCTTCTCTGCTGGACCCAAGGGCAGCTTCTTATTACATTTATTTTTAAGGCTTATAGCATAGCAGTCACAAAATCCAAGGAGATTTACTAAATTAATGGTCGCTTAAGCCAGGATGAGTCTAACCGGTTTGTATCTTTTAGAAAACAAAAACTTAAAACAACAGCTACATTGGCACAATAAGGAAGGAATGTGAAATGCACAGCAGATGGAGAGGCCAAACCAGAGCTTTCAGGCAGTGGAGCACAAGGCATTCCAGACTCGACTCCCTTTACCATTTGGGGGAACTCAGATGAGTCACAATTTCTCTGGATCTCAATGTTTTCCATCTATAAAATGATTAAATCATTTAGGCTTTTAAAGGTCAGTATGCAACAGAACTCTGACACAGAACTTCCCAGTGAGCAGGGTCAGCTGGTGCTGTGCCTATTTAATATGCAGCAGAAGTCTCTGTGTCCAGGGCTGAGGGCCTGGTAGTGTAATTAATACAGAGGAGAAAGAAGGAAAGGGAGGAGGGTAGCAGGTGGAGAGGAAAGCAGAGCCTCTCCTTTCATGCTTCAGAGGACAGGACTTTCATCAGCAGCATCCTGCACATTTACCCGAGGCCTGTTACATTGAAGTCCTCTAAATAGCAGGATAAATGGCATGTGTGTATGCTGAAAAATCTGTAAGGACATACAGCAAAATGCCAACAGTGTTTTTTCTGGGTTAAATGGTTATGAATGTCCTGAATTAATTATCTGCTTCTTTCTTTCTTTCTTTCCTTTTCTTTCTTTCCTTCTTTTTTTCCCTCCTTCCCTCCCCGCCTCCCTCCCTGCCCCCTCCCTCCATCCTTCCTTCCTTCTTTCCTGCCTTCCTTCCTGCCTGCCTGCCTGCCTGCCTTTCTCTTACATTTCCTACATTTTGTACCTTACATATGTATTGCTTGTGTTTCTCCCACCAGAAGGTAAACTCCATGAGTGCAGGAATTCTTGTTTCTTTTGTTCATTGCTATATTCACAGTGCCCTGCCAGGCATTTGGTAGGCACTCAGTAAACAATTGTTGAGTGAATGAATAATGTGCAATTTAAAAGTGAGAATTTTTTTTAATTGCAGGCAACACAAATCATGTCTTAAAGCAGTAGTTTTCAATCTTTTTGGACTATAGCACACAGTAAAAAATGCTTTTAAAATTGTGACATCACAGTACCTAAATTCACACACACATATGGCACATATAACAAAGATTTCACAAAGTAATACTTGTTATTATAACTTGTGGCATACTTTGATATTTTTAAATCACTTCTATTTCCATTTTTGAAATACTGACTTAATAAATTTATTTAAAGACTCACTAATAAGTTATCATCTGCAGTTTGAAAATCACTTCCATTGAAAGAGCAGCCATCTGGAAGGTCAGGCAAAGCAAACTGGGGCAGGAATCAGAGATTTCAGTTATGACACCAACTAACTATATGATTTGGCCAACCTGCTTTGAACCTCAGTTTCCTTATCTGTAACATGAGAAATTGTCCATAATGCTATTTAAGACCAGTGCCCACCCTAAAAATTGATATTCTGAAATCAAGACAAACAAATAAGAGTAACAATCTTTGCCAAGCACCTATTATGTACCAGATAACAAGCCAGGTGTTTTACATATGGCATCTCACTAAACCTCCCTGACACCTCCGAGAGAATAAGGTTATCAGCCTTCACAGAGGAGGAAACTAAGACTCAGAGAGGTTAAATAACTTGCCCCAAATCAGCAAGTAACAGGGTTGGTTTCTATTTGGGGTCCTCTGATGTCAACCCCCATGTTCTCGACTACAACATACACTGTTCCCTAATGGAGTTGCCTTGAGGTTTTCATTTCAAATCCCTGACCCATTTCGTCTCCCTTTAAGCTAGGAATGTTCAATTAAAGGTAGTAGTAAATGGTAGCAAATGATAAAATGATACCAAGGGGGTGTATATATAAGGAGAAGGGAAGCAATACTATTTTAATGCAATATTCAAAACATTTCATTTATGGTATTCAATTTAATCCTCACAACAACCTTCAAATTTGTTTTGTTTTTTCATTTTACAGTTTTAAACACAGAAAGGTTTAGTAACCTTTTTTTTTCTTTTTTGAGACAGAGTCTCACTCTGTTGCCCAAGCTGGAGTGCAGTGGCGCAATCTCAGCTCACTGCAACCTCTGCCGCCCGGGCTCAAGTGATTCTCCACCCTCAGCCTCCCAAGTAGCTGGGATTATAGGCGCCTGCCATCCAGCTAATTTTTGTATTTTTAGTAGAGACGGGGTTTCACCATGTTGGCCAGACTGGTCTTGAACTCCTGACTTCAGGTGATCCGCCCACCTTGGCCTCCCAAAGTGCTGGGTTACTGGTGTGAGCCACCGCACCCAGCAGGTTTAGTAACTTTTTAAAGATACCAGGTATTTAGTGCAGCTGTGAGACTGTAAGCTCTCTGAGGATACAGACTGTCTTTCTCATTTGTGCTTTGTCAGTGTCTAAAAGAGTGCCTCATACAGGGTAGGTGATCAATACACATTTACTAAAGGCATCAATGAAGGAAGTAACCAGGTTATAAGCCCCAATCTGCCCAACTCCCAAATCTGATTCTTCCCACTGCCGAATTCATATAATTTATTTAAAACAATTGGTATCTAGCCAGTTGTTCCTAATCTTATTTACTATATAAAGAGTGTTCTTTATATATATATATAGTAATCTTATTTACTATATAAAGAGTGTTATGAGCTTTGGCTCCAATGCCCCTATGAAGCTCTGGCTATATAATTAGTTACTGAGTTTACATCTCTTGGCTGAATCTATAATTAAGCTAATTTTATAAGACATAGTTAGATATATTCCCTGATTCCCTAAAATGCGTAACATTCACCCAGAGGACCAGACTTGGAGAAAAACACAGGACTGGAAAACAATTTGATCGCACCCTCTCATTGCTCTCGCTGATCACCAAGAGCAATTACAGAACAGAAAGTTTGTTTGGTTTGGTTTTTAAATCAGTAAGAACAAATTTTAAAAGACCTACTCTTATGCAGAGTATCTTCATAGTGCATCTTCTAGGATGTTTTATTTCTAAACAAAACAAAGTTTGGCTCTATCTCACACAATGATGTTACTGTATTACAGTTTCTGCTCAGGAATTGGAGGAAGGCAAGAAATGAGGCATACCAAGCATGCCGTAGCAGAAGGGTGTGTGCAGGTGTGCCTGAGACATCACCCTGCTTGAACTCAGCCAGGCAGGTCCAGTGATGGGTGAGTGGATGGCTCTGATAAAGAGCAGGCATCTCTCCTTATCTTTCTAACTCAAGGGTAGTTCCTCTCTGATGTGCTGACCAAGGCTGCACCTAGCCCTGGCTTTGGTCATTCAGGGCCTTTGGAGTTGTGTGCTCATCTCTTTCTTATTTTCTCCCCCTTTTCCAAGTATTTACTAAGGGCTCTCATGGGCCCAGCCTCTGCAAGGTACTGTGGTGGCTACAGAAGGAACAGAGCACAGGCTTCTGGCCTCTTGGGTGTCACTGGTCATATACTTGGAACTCAAGTGTGACTATAAAGTTGCCTGGCAGCTGAGCTGCTGACTTCACTATTCTCACCTTCCTTCTTTGCCACCTCCTGAGAGCTTGGTAAGCCTTTCTTCTTACTGTGGTTTGAAGAATGTGATTCTCCCTTATTTCACTCTGTATTTTCTGTCACCATGACATCAAATGTGGTTTTCTTGCCTTGAGTGAACCAGCACCCATATTATGAAGGCCAGCATGATCAGAGGTGTAAACTCTACAGGTGAGTCAGCTGGAGAAGACACAAGGTCATTTCAGCTTTGTGGATAATTCTCTTTGCTTTCTACACTGAATTTGGCTGCCTCTGCCTTAAACCTGCACTAAACCTACTCTGCTCTCATCCAAAGTATTTTTTTAAAAGGGGGCAGGGCTGGCTCTCCCAGAAGTCAAATGTTCTCTTTATATTCACTTTGTTTCCTGCTCTGAGTTTCCTTCTATAGTGTCTGTTAATGTCTATTTTGGTCTGAATCTTTTTTTTTTTCCCCCCAGTATGGATGGAGTCTTGCTATGTTCCTGAACTCCTGGGCTCAAGTGATCCTCCTAGCCCTACCTCCCAAAGTGCTGGGATGACAGGCATGGTCCACTGCACCCAGCCCCAAATCTTTTTTAATAACAGTTTTATTGAGATATATTTCACATACTTAAAATTTACCTTTTAAAAGTGTATAATTCAGTGGGTTTCAGTATAGTCATGGAGATGTCCAACCATCACCACTATCTAATTTCAGACCATTTTCATCATCCCAAAAATTACTCATTAGGAGTCAGTCCCATTTCTCCCTTCCCCAGCCCTAATAAATCATTGGTCTTTTTTTTTATTTTTATGAATTTGCCTATTCTGGACATTTTGTTTAATTAGAATAATACAATATGGGTCTTTAGTGACTGGCTTCTTTCAATCAGCATGAAGTTTTCAAAGTTTGTCATGTTATAATGTATCAATACTTGATTCATTTTTATGACTAAATAATATTCCGTTATATGGATAAACCACATTTTGTTTAGCCATTCATCAGTCAATGGACAGTTGGGTTGTTTCCACATTTTGGCTATGATTAATAATGCTAGAAATATTTGTGTACAGGTTTTCGTGTGGACATGTTTTCAGTTATCTTGGATACATACCTAGGAGTCAATTTGCTATGCGGACCCAAATATTAAGGAAATATTTTCAATAATCTTCATTCCTATCACTGTTTCCCAGAGAGTAGATTTCTCTGTATTCACTAAACAAAGGGGAATGACCAACAGTAGGAACTTTTTCACCAAGTTCATGACACAGCACCTGCTTTTCCAAGTTAGATACAAAGCTGAAACATAGAGGGAGTTTTTGGGCTTTGTATCTAACTTGGAAAAGCTAGTTACTTTGTATCAAACATGCAGCTATGAGTGGCTATGTCAGGCCCAAGACAGGGACAAGTCACTTCAGTGACTGCACATTAAATAGCAGTTTGTGGCACCCAGAGGGAAGTTTGTGCAGAACAAGCCTCCTGCCCAGATTTTAATCTTACAAAGAAATATTTATCACAAGGAGCTGGTTCCTTGAAATCTAGTCTCCTGTAACCTATCAAGAATATTGGGCTGTGATCTCTGGCGGTATGCATAGGCCCAAAGTGGGTATTTACAGCATCGAATAAGCAGTTTACAACCTTGAACCATCAATTACCATTTCCCCACAGCTCTGCAGTCTTCCGTTTATAAAGGAAGTCCGCCCTCTGCTGGTCATGGGCAGCCCACACCCACAACTCAGGGCTGCTGAGCACGTCTCTTCTAAAATCCTTTATTCTCCAGGAGCATTTTAGAAACTGCTACAATTTATTCAGCCATAGAACACAAAGTAATGCCATCTTCTGCAGAGCGTTGTCCTTTTATTTTTTATCCTTTGATGTTTGTGGGTTTTTTCCTTTTATTCAACAGAAGCAGAACTGGGCCAGTTTCAGTTATTTATGAGCTGCTTTCATTTGTGATAAATAACCGTAATATGTATTTATGCAGTGCCTGCCAGGGCCCTTCTGCTCCTATAGACTCATGAGTTACTAAAATACTTTTCTATGGTAGAAGTGGGCAAGGGCTATTCAAGATAGAGATAATACAACGTATGGGCTGTCAGCTGTCTAGTAATTTTTCAGAGGTGCTTTGCAGATTGATTGAGTCGAGAAAGACCTAGAGCCTGACTCTCCCAAGGCTCTATGGGAAAGCTCTTAGCCCTGTTAGAAATCCGCAAGGCATCAGACATTTGGGTCCCCAAGCGCTCTTTCCCTTCCTTCCACAACAACACTCTGACCAGAAAAGATCCAGGACCAACAGGAAAGGTGAATGGGGGAGGAAGCCAGAGCCATGGGAGGAGGTGAGGCGGAATATCACGGATGGTGGGGGCAAAAGCTGCACTCTTGAAAAAAGGAAAGGTGGGGGAGCTGGGAGGGAAGGTGGACAAGAGAAAGAAACAATGGGCAGGAGCCCAGCAGGTAATGAGGAAACCAAAGCAGAAGTGACCTCATCTCAGTTAACTGTAACATCTGTTTAATTCTTCATTAACAAAGGAAAGAGGATCCTTTCTGATGTTCTCACCCTGTGCCTCTGACCTTTAAGATCTCACTCTGTTGCCCAGGCTGGAGTGCAGTGGCACGATCTCAGCTCACTGCAACCTCCACCTCCCAGGCTCAAGCAATCCTCCCACCTCAGCCTCTTGAATAGCTGGGACCACAGACGCGAGTCACCACCAAGCCTGGCTAATTTTTGTATTTTTTGTAGAGATGGGGTTTTTGCATGTTGCCCAGGACTAGTCTCAAACTCCTGGACTTAAGCGATCTTCCTGCCTTGGCCTCCCACAGTGCTGGGATTACAGGCATGAGCCACCATTCCCGGCCTGAAAGAACCTGATTTCTAGAGACATAATTTGGGCTTGTAATCTCTGAGGAGATGAGAGTTGCTTACTGTGAGCCCATATACTAGCCAGAGGTCTGGAAACCTGGCTCCCTCCCTCAAGGTGATGCCTGTGTCCTGCCAAAATGGGGTGGGGGGGGGCATGCCTAAAGCCACAGCTGCGCCACTGCTTACCCCTGGGATGCTCCTTGAGGGTCCCACCACCCATGTCAATCAACCGGCTACAGATTCCTGTGTCCTGTTCTTCCTGTTCCACCCCCAACCCATGCTGCTCTAGCCTTCTCCCTCCCTCCTACCTTGGTCCTCTGGACTCTTATTCTCTCCTCCCACATCTTCTCTCTACCCTTTGTGACTCAAGTCTCAGTCACTTTAGGAAAGACAGGCTCACTGCCCTCTTTATAACCAACCTTCATCGGATGTGAGGGGGATGGAGAAGTGAAGGAGATAGGAGGGAGAGGAGAGGGACACAGGGAGAAATGAGGGAGGAGGGAGTGAGAGAGAAACAGGAACCAGGTCTTCTGCGCTTCCTCCCAGATTAGGATAAAGGCTATTCTTAGCAGTAATACAGGCTTGGCATTTGGGGAGATGTGTATTTCTCTCCCTCTAGCCCCACGGGCTTTGCACATTGTAATTTCTCCTCTCCAAGCAGTGAAGAAAGAGAAGATGAATAGAGAGAGAGAGAAGGAAAGGAAAGAGGGAGGCACGCCATCCCTGGTGCCCTGAGAGGCTCTTCTCGGGATTTGTTTTGGAAGGCTGCTCTGGTGGATCAGAATTGGGCAGGGAAAGGCTCACTGCACCCCAGAAGGCCAGTTTAATTCTAGCCTCCCTTTTGAGGCAAGAAGACGAAAAGCCAAATGAGATCCCTTTGGGCCTTGCCGCAGCGCTTTGTATGTGGCACGTGTTTCATAAATGTTCCGCCAAGCCCCTGCGTATACTCTCATTAGGCTGGTCTCTCAGAACTGCGTTTACTGGGCCTTAGGACCTTGGGAGTCAAAGCATTCAAGCGCTGGCATTATACATTAGGCTTCAGAGAAGCTAGGAACTTGAAAAATACAAAAGTATATAAAAAATAAGTAAAAATTTAAAAATAGGGTGGGCAAAGCTCGAGAAATTACGTAATTCGATTTCACCTTGACCCAGATGGTGAAGTTCTATAGAGCGGCCAACAGGGGGCGCTCAGGCAGTGTGTCAGAACCTGGAGCCCAACCTAGGGACAAACAAAACAATGCAGCTTTGCTGTTTCTCTTCGGTTCTTAGTTCGAGGAGGCTTAATCCAAGACCGCCTGATCTCCATTCTGGGGGACGCCAGTAGCGTCTCGCAGAACACTGTCTTAATAGGCTTTCCTGAATCTCTCGATCAAATGCCTTCTAGGACTCTGTGTTCCTCTGCACCTAGAAAAATGGCTTTTCTCAAGCTCTCCCAGTATCTATGTGTATCTTTTTGTCAGCCTGGTTTTCTCGATGTCTGTGTTTCTGGCATGGTTCTTTCTTGTGTTTCTGTACTATCCCAGGCATGTTAATGAAAAATACATGGAGCTGAACCCACCCGCAGGCTGAGCTCTGAAAGATTTCAAGATCTGGCAGAAGCTAACGCTTTGAAAAATATTTAAAATATGTTTTACTGCAAAAGTGGCTAACTGCCACATTAAGCTGTGCAGTCCTGTCTTTCCTTCTCCTCGTTTCTGTTCTTGGAATGGACTGCCATGCCACCCTACCACTGTCTCCTGCCCCTTGGCTGCCACAGCCATTGTCCACCTCCCCCAAACCACTGACCTCTAATGGTCAGCTCCTCCCTGACAAGCAGGACAAGGTCTTCCAGGGCTTTTAGAGAAGATGCCAACTTCAAAATGATTGTCCTCTGTTTGTATATTTTTGTTTTGTTTTGATTTTTGCTTTGTAATTAAGACCATCCCCCTTGTTTCCAGAACATACTGGAACTCTTAGGATTTAGGGTTCAGGTGAGAACTAGAGAGACTCCGCCTCATACTCTGCCTGGAACCTCTTGTCCTCCAAGATTCAGGTGCTCTGGTTGAGTCTGGTCCACTCTGCCAGAGTATCTTTACCCACAGTGACTTTCTCTTGGGAACCTCATCATTGTGTTCCTCTCCAAATTGACTTTTACTTACCACACAGTCGAGAAAGAGACTGCATGTGTGTGTGTTTCAATCCTTGGAGAACAGAGTTTAAATTTTCTTTCTGGGGAATTGGGAAATGTCACCGATCATGGTGTTAAGGTACCAGAGCGTGCCATGACAGTTAAAAGGCACCCCAGTAAATGATAGAAGGCTCCTTTGCCTGGAGCCCATAGAGGGCTCCGGGGCTATTTATCAAGTGCCTACCTCAGTTCCAGCCCTAAATACTGCTACTATGGTGATGGTGGTGGTGATATATCCTCCTAATTTCTGCATTTCGTGGTCCCTGCCTCCAAATCTATCCTGCTCTACTGGTGTTCCTATTATGTTTCAGATCCTAGTCATGTGTGTCCCTGAGAGGAGGAGACTAACATTAGATCTGGTAGGACATGATACCCTTCAATCTTGTCACCTTAACTTTCTCCTGGAGCCATGGAAGCTAGCAGTGGTATGATCTGATCCTGTCTGTTTCTGTCCTGCCCAATACTTTATAGCTGTTATTTCCTAGTTCCAGAACCTGACTGGACCAAGTTTAAGACCAAGGTAGGGAGTAGGGGGCAGACAAGCAATGCAATGTAATTCAGCATTGAAGAATACTTCCCACTCACTCGTCCTTTTCAGGCCCTGGCCATACAGACAGGCTGTACAAGACATAGGTCCTGACTTCAGGGGATAAATGTTTCTATTGAACTGACTCACTGTGTGAGTGAGAATAATAACGAAATGAGAATGAGAATACAAATGAAACTGCTGCAGAAAAACCCAGTGCTGCACACTGCTCGCATCATCAGGGAGGCTGCCTCTGCAGTGCAATCCCTAATCTCTGTGACTTCCTAAATCAAAGAAAAAGGTTAAATTACTTTCTAAAATTAAGCTTTGCATTACTTTGAAACTAACAAAGCATTCCTTCCCACAGACACTGTTCCTAAATTAAATATTTTGTGCTTATACAGCTGCTCAAATGTTGGTACACTGAAAATGGAAAAATTTCTAAGGTTGGAAAGAGATGGGGTGCTTAGAAAGGAGGGGGCTCTGTGCAGGGAGGACAGCTGTGGTCAGTAGCAGAGATTATAGAATAGTTGGAAAAGATTGTGATCAAGTAAATATGTGTGTAAAATGTTTCTAAAATTATTAAGTCTAAATAAGTATAGGTTAAGGGGGCCTGTTATGGTCAGGTATTAAAAAGCATCCTTTCAAGTAGAAACCTTGGTCAGTGGCTATTCCCCGCCTGTAATCAATAGGAAATAGGGGGATTAACAGTAAACAACCAAGGGGACATCTTAAGGTCAATGTGAAGCCTATTGTGCGGGACTTCGCAATGATTAAACAGTAGAATGGGTCGCAGAGAATGTGTGGGCACTTCTCCCTAGAGGCATTTACTGAAGGAACAGAACTTTCTTATAGTCACATGCTGCAAGTACCATCCAGTGTGGAGACAGAGGCATGACCTGGATGAGCTTCTCATCTATTAAATAGATTGTAAAGTCAAAGAACTCATACAGCATTAGAGGCCCCCTGCAGCAGCTGGAGAGAAATGGACAGATGAAAGTCCTCACTTGTCCACCTCCCACCAACATGCCCAGCCTGCCATTGAGCTGCCTGTTGTATTTTGTAAGCTTGCGCCTAGACATTTGCCTTGCAAACATGTGGGCCGTCTTGGCAAATGGTTTTGTAGAAAGCCCTTGCTCACAAGAATTCCATCTGCAATATTTGGATTGGCTACTAGGACTCTCCCTTTTCCGCACAAACTGTTCCCAGCTTATCTCTGGATGTCTTCCAGAAGGTCATCAATGTTCCGCCATACAGCGTCATCTGCTTGCCACACTATTCCCCAGCTCCTGAAACACAGCACTGTTTCCTATGGTAGCAGCAGCAACAGCAAAATTATCTTCCTCCTCAGCATGATTTTCCAGGCCCAAGATGAGCTCACAGGCACCAAGAGACACAAAGCCATGGCTTCACGTATCTCACACCCAGGAGCCTGATCTCAGTTTAAAAAAGGCAGACCTGCTGTCTTAGCTGGGGGAGTAGAGAAAAGTTATGGCTTTAAGTTGACAGCAGAGAATAGCCAGGAGCACCTGAGGAAGGCTGACAAGGACATATTGGGGGGTACTGGGGGAGGAGCACCTTCTGGCAGGGGGAGGTAGGGGCAGACCTAGAGAATGCACTCATAAGGGCAAGTCCAAGGCCTGGGCGGGGTCTCTGACGACTTGTACAAACTTGGCACCAAGCCTCAGTGCAATCTTGCTTCATCTCCCTGGACCTCTACCGTCATTAATGACTGTGACTTCAGTCAGAGACTACAGAAAGGGAACACTCAATGATAATCTAGAGACAAGGACAATTAACCAAATCATCAGATATGACTCCTGTTTATGTCCTTTGCCCCATTATTACCCTGGCCTCTCTTCATTATTCTATATCCCAAGTCCATACTTTCCCAGATGTTGTGGAAATGGTAAAGGATTCCAAGTTATTGTAAGGAGGGCCACTCTCCATAAAATGAGACCATTCCACTCCACACCCTGGGGACTGACTCAATTGAGCTCCACTGGCCAGTGTTCTGATTGTATCTTACCAACCAGAAGAATATTAATTTCAGGCAAAGGAGGTCTCTGTCTCCTGCACAGAGCTACTAATGACTCCACTATGAGTGATAGAGTACGAGAGTCAGCAAGGACTGTAGAGATTATGTATTGATCCAACACCTTCATGATAGATGAGAGAACTGAAGATTAGGGAGATGACATAAGGTCCAAGGCCACCCAGGAAGTTGTTGAAAAAATTTGGACTAGAGGGCCAGGCGCGGTGGCTCATACCTGTAATCCCAGCACTTTGGGAGGCCGAGGTGGGTGGATCATGAGGTCAAGAGATTGAGACCATCCCGGTCGGCATGGTGAAACTCCGTCTCTACTAAAAATACAAAAAATTAGCTGGGCATGGTGGCGCGTGCCTGTAATCCCAGCTACTCAGGAGGCTGAGGCAGGAGAATTGCCTGAACCCAGGAGGCGGAGGTTGCGGTGAGCCGAGATTGCGCCATTGCACTCCAGCCTGGGTAACAAGAGCGAAACTCCGTCTCAAAAAAAAAAAAATTTGGACAAGGACCCAAAGTCTTTGACCCAGTAACACACTAGCTCTTCCTCCTGTCTTACCTGGCCCTGGCCTTTCGGATGCCAAAGGTTTCCACCCAGGGGAAAATCAAGCAGCAAGGAAGGAAAGTCTGAACTTCCAAAACTTCTTTGTGAAAGCAACTGCTCTTCAGGAGACCTCTTTGTGTTATAACCAGCCCTGGGGACTCTGTCTCTGCCATGCTGCATCTGGTTAAATTGCTCTTCTGTGAGCCTATCTGGCTGCCAAATCTCTCTCTGGCCAAAAACAGCGTCTGATCTCATCCTAATGGATTTCCACCAATCACAGTTCTAGGGCTTCCAAGATAGAAATGGACATCTTACACAGAAACATTATAAATATTCTACAAGCAAATAACAGGGTTCTAACTCCTTTACTCTCTCTTTAGCTAACCACTTTCAAAGGCATCTGGCAAAGTTGCATTCAACCTGTGAATCAAATAAGTCAAATAAACAGATATTTATTGAGCCACTATTGGAAAGTCAATGTACCAGGTATACAAGGACAGGCCTGAGTCCTTGCTT